GTTACCAGGTGGTAGGTTGTGAAGACTGACAGCTCCGTCGGCCCGTAGACGTTGAATAGCTTGCGGGGCGGACCGTTGGCGAAGATGGTTCGGATGGTGGGGACATGGATAGCCTCTCCACCTGTCAACAGGCTATCTACATGGGAGTAGGCATGAGGACAGGTATGGGCAATAGTGGCGAGCAGGGAAGTGGTCTGCCACATCACATCGATGTGGTCGACTTGGAGTCGGCGTTCAAAGATGATGGGATCCAGGAACTCCTCTCGTTGGAAGACAATCACTGTCCCTCCGTGCAAAAGCGCAGACCATATCTCCCACAGCGATACATCGAATCCCACATTGCAGACGTGAGCCACGCGGTGACCACGATGAACTGGGGCGAATTCGTTGAAGACGAGGTTGATTAGTCCGGCTGCGAGCACTCGCACGGCCTTGGGCTGGCCGGTAGACCCGGAGGTGTGGAGAATATGTGAGCAACAGGAGGGAGAACTGTCCGACACCACGAGGTGATCAACCTCTTCTCGCTCAACAGGCTCCCAATTCACAACCAGATGTTGCAGGTTCGGTAGTCGATGTGAGTTGGAGCTGTCCGATAATACTAGAGAAGCCCCCAGATGAAGCAAGAGTCGTTCGAGATGGTCATCCGGAAGGTCAATGTCCAAAGGAACACAGGTTGCACCGGCATACACCACCGCCACTTGGGCCAAGATATGGTTTATCCCTCTCGATATTAGAATTCCAATCGGTTGCTCTTTTGTGACTCCGAGCCTCTCGAGCTCAAGCACAATACTCAGCGCCTTTTGGTGCAGTTGTCGAAAGGTCATGCGATGTTCACCATGCTCGAGAGCAATATCATCTGCATATAGCTGCACCTTTTGCACCAGCAGCTGGGCCAGACTCAGGCCAGGCCTGCTTTCGTTCAACATGTTTGGGAATTGCTGCACCATACAATAAACAATGAAAAGAGCTCAGAGGGATCAATCAGACAAGGACAAGAGAGGCCACGACGAGGACAGAGATGAGTCTTCTCTGTCACTTCGACATGCTTGAGCGTTCACGATGATGCTTGCGGAGGACAGAGCCCGCTAAGCGCCAGGAGCGAGCTCAATTTCACTGATAACCGATCTACAACTCTTTCATCTCACAATGCAGCTTACTCTGGACGCCGTGAACCTTCCATAGCCTTCCGAGGCCTAGCTATGCTCGGTACAGTTCCATTCCGGGTCCACAATTGCGGCGCTGACTGGGCGTGCAGACAATGAGATTGATCGGTGAAGAAGTTCGAAGCGGTGTCACCTTGAGTGGAGCTGCAGTCGAACACAGTGCACTAATTGGCTAATAGCTAGGAATCTCACATTGATCTACCAGGCTGTTTCAGTCGTGAAGATTCTTTATTTAGGGACCGACTGTCGTTCCCGTCGAATTGAGGGTTCAAAGCACCAACAAACAGCAATAATTCACGTACTTGTCTGAACTGCGCTGTTCGCCCTCTCTCAAGGCCAAGATGCAGAACTCTCAGATCAATTTACTTGACTACCTGCGTGCGAGAACACAGGTAGATCTGGATACGTTCGATGTGACTGGTATGGGTCTCCCGATGATGCTGTGATAGAGAACGGTGGTTGAACTTTATGTAGTAGCAAAAGAGGTTGAGCGATGCATTGATTGCACGTCAAATCAGGTAAGGCCTGGCGCCATAACCATACGTCCCTAACATACTGAAGATCGAAACATAGTATGAATACTATACGGAGCTCGCCAAGGAAGGTAGACGGGTCGTTCTCGACAGAGCGATCGAGCTCGCTGCTAATCTCCATCAACAATATCCCAATGTAACGCGGGAAGAATTGACAATCGAGATTGGGGTAAGTCTAACAATGGTCATTGATGCTACACGCTGATGCAAGATCCAGGCTATCCTTCTGGCGATCGATGTTCGACCATTTGTGACGGGAAACCTCCACATCATGGTCAACCCTAACTACGCCTACTACCAGCGCAAGACCGTGGAAGCCGCAAAAAGTGAGTTTTGTATCGACTACCTAGGCCGCCGCTGACTATGTTTGACGGACAGGACTGCATTGTCTGTTCCGTGAGATTGATCCTGACTTCGATCCCTCCCGTCTTGTGCTGAAGGTTGCGGCCACCTGGGAGGGACTCCAGGCGTGCCGAGAGCTGCGGTACTCACGCATCCAGACCTTGGCAACTACTCTTTTCACAATGGAGCAGGCTGTTCTGGCCGGGGAAGCCGGATGCGTCTCCATCTCGCCCTTTGTGCATGAGCTCAAAGCTATCTTCGAGCCCAGCTATAAGGGCTCAGACCCGCTGTTGCCATTGTGCGTTCAGGCCCAGCAGTGGTATCGGCAAGAGTCGTTGCCGACCAAGGTCAAGGCATGTGCGACAATCGGGTTGGACGAGATCTTGCAGCTGGCCGGTGTGGCAGCGTTCACCCTGGTCCCAGATGACCTGAAATTGCTGGAGTCTAGCCACAAGGGCGTGGACGAGGTGCAAAGCTTGTCATTGTTCCAGGATAGGGGTGTCATGCAAGATAAGCTTGCCTACCCGTCTTACGTTAATGATGAAGCCGGGTATCGCTTGGCTTTTGCGAGAGTCGAAGAGGGCCGTGCTCAGCTCAAACTTGGGCAGGTAGGTATCTCTGGAACATGTATGAAACTCATGAGATTGCTTACTGATTTTCCTTCCAGGCGATAAATATCTTCTGTGATTTTCAAACTAAGGCCGAGCAGCTGGTTCGGGATGCGATGCGTGCATGAGCATTGCATGGGGGTATTCTTAGGATGGCACTTGGAATACGTTAGTGTTGTTGAAGGGTTTCGAGTCGAGCTATTCGCGGATTGTAATGAGTATGCCACTTTTCTTCACATTACATGATTATCAGTAGTCTCCTAGTCTCGCGTTTGCCATATCCCCATCGGTAATGCTTTTGATCGGGTCATCGTAGATGTCATTATGTGACTGAGCCGTGACTGTGACTGTGATGCGATTGCATCAATCACCATGTGGGGTTGTGCGAGGTTGCACAAAATCAAGTCTGAGTATGGCCACTATTCGAGTGTGGGCACATCACGAAGATTGTGTGACGTGAGACAAGGTCTCACTTCTCCAAAGAACATAGCCCGGGCTGAATTCTACCCTGATCCAGCACAGCAGCTGAAGTCTCACTCTGGGAGTCGTACGAAACGGATCGCCGCAGTGTCCGATAAATAGATGCATCTAGTACCACGTTATACAGATGAACCAGTTCCCAGCGGCGAGACGCTGTCTTACGCCAGAGTAAATAACCCAGGTTTGGTGTCGTGATGAAACTCCAGCAACTCTTAGCCCCTGGACTGGCAGCGCTGCCAGTACCCGAATTACTGGGTGGGAATGTGAACTATCTATTCACTTTGTATGTCGTCCCCCCCTTGTACAGGATCGTAGCCGTAGCCCTAAGCGGGCTGGGACTGACTTGAGCGACGAGAACAGTGGCGATTCGTACAGCACCACCGGTTTCAATGTGTCGGCTGAGCAGCCAGCCGTGGGAAATCCAATGGGAAATCCTGAGTTAGGTGTGTTTCCTTGTTTTTTTAGGGCTACGTTCTCTATGCGATGAATAATCCCCCTTGGTCCAGTCCACTGATCTGACACGGGAGAAGGCCAAGGCACCGCCTCTGACGGAATCAACTGGGTCGGGTATCTGACCACCCACTTCAACCATACATTGACCTTCAGCTATAACCTCGCGGTGTATGGGGCTACAATCGATAACGAGGTAGTTCCGAATGTGCCGGGGGACGTGGTGAGTCAGATTCAGGGGATGTTTGGGAAGCATTATTGTCGAGGGACGGCAGACACGACACCCGAGATCAGTTCACGGTCGGCCATAGCGGATGCTTGGACAGAGGTTGCAGATGCAGCGCTGTTTGTGATTTGGGTGGGGATCAATGAGTTCGTTCTCTTACTACCTCTTTCTTTTTGTTTCTTGGTTGTGCGCCAAGCTTGTTTGATATTTAGTACAAGATATATGTTTGGTTGGGGATGTTTGCCGGTCCGATTTCCAATCCGCCTGCCCTGCCCTACCTTACACCCCCCCTTCCCTTGCAGACTTCACTCGAGCAAGCCCGTCAATGCACAAACTCACGCAACTATGGAATCTAATTCGGTGGATGGCAGCGTACAATTCAGCTACCTCGCTCCCCACCCCCTCCTGCAACTCACCGCCGCACTGGACACGTACTTTCAGCTGTTGACCGACCTTTACGACTGCGGCGCCCGCCGGTTTCTGGTCTTGAATGTGCCCCCCACCACCCGCACGCCAAACATGCTGACTCACAGTCCGATACGACGCGCTCGCCATCTGACTACGGTCCACATCTTCAACCTGTTATTGGAGCGGATGGTGAAGCGGTGGGCCGGGGGATTTCCGGATGTAAGTTACCTCTTCGCATTCCTGTTGGATTTGGAAGTTGTTGTTTGGGAGAAGAGACATACGACAGGGGGTTGTTGACGCACGCATTGCTAATCGGTTATGCTTGTTGTGCTACGGTGACGGCAGGCGACGGTGATGCTCTTCGACGTGTTTGCTTTTATGGGCGCAGTCCTGGATGACCCTCAGCGATATGGGTTCCGGGATGGAACGTGTGTGGGTGAGGAGGGGTGTGTGTGGTGGGATGACTTTCATCCGAGGTCGGAGTTTCATTTTGTTCTGGCGAGGCAGCTGGAGGGGTTGCTTGGAGGTGGTTTGGATTGAGGCCGTTGAGTGTGTAGGTGGTAGGAGAGGGGAGTAGCGATTGAGACTGGGTCATGCAACATGTCTGCACTGTCATACTATGAGACTCACAGCACTGGTGTTGGATTGCCCAAGTGCAAGTGTAAAGTCAAGAATCGTGTGCGGATTGCTGCTGTAGTGAAGGAGGTGATATCTATGAGTACTACCTGTACGGTACCTCGAGTCAACCATCCTCAACACAACCCATCCAGCTAAACGTAATACATTCAACATGGCTGACACTGTCAATGTTCTGAAGTACCTCCGTTCAAAGACCCAGCTTGACCTGGATAGTCTGGATCTTGAAGGTATGCTTACTCTCTAATTCTGAGCGACTGGTGCTAACGCACCCCAGCTGCCCGTAGCGGAGGTCCCGATGGGCCGTGGACGGATGCCACCTCCAACCCAGTGTGTACCTCCTCTGACACCAGTGAATAGCAGGCTAAACAGTGGGCGTGTAGGCAGAATCATACTTCCAGCTCCAGAAGGAGGAAAACAAGGAAATCGTCGTGCAGGCTATCCACATCGCCCAAGATCTTCATGAGAGGTACGCAGGCGTGACGCTTGCTGAGCTTCGGGTTGAGATCGCTGTACGTTTCCATTTCTCTGCGGTGCTTCCAATCAGAAGACTTACCAGATCATGATATAGACCGTTTTGCTAGCCAACCGAGTCCTGCCCTACATCACCGGCTCCGTCCATGTCATGGTCAACCCATGCCATGCCTTCTCCACCACGAAAGTGATCCAGACGTGTCTGCGTAAGTGCTACCACCCTCCACACACTACACGGGAGACCCCACTCACGACGCAAGAAAAGGATACCATGAGATCTTCCACCACATCGATCCGCACTTTGACCCCTCGCGCCTCGTCATCAAAGTCTCCGCGACCTTTGAGGGGCTGAAGGCCTGCCATGCGCTGCGGGCCAAGGGCATCCAAACCCTCGCCACTACCGTCTTCACGATGGAGCAGGCAATCCTCGCCGGCGAGGCGGGGTGTGTGTCGATCTCGCCGTTTGTGCACGAGCTGAAGGCTGGGTTTGATGATACGTTCGTTCTCTCTAATCCCTTTATGTTACACTTGTTGCGTTCTTTGTCGGTGGTTCATCACGTATGAGTGACCCTGGGGGATGAGCTAACCACGCAAGAGCAGGTACAAAGATCAAGACCCTCTCCTCGACCTCTGCGTCCAGGCCCAGGAGTACTACGTCCAGCACGGGATCTCCACTCGTGTCAAGGCTTGTAGCTGCATGTCCGTTGACGAGATCCTGCAGATGGCTGGGGTGGCGGCCCATACGATTCCGCCGGAAGATCTGGAGAGATTGGCCGGCATGAACGAGGCGGTTGACTCGCTGGAGAAGAAGTCCTTGTTTCGGTCGGATGCCTCTGTGGCAGTGCAGCAGCAGCAGGCTCGCAGCTATGTCGATGATGAGGCGGGGTATCGCGTGCATTTTGCGGCGAGTGACGGGGGACGAGGCCAGAGTCGGTTGTTCCAGGTTCGTTTGCTGTGTGTTGGTGGATGAGATTGGTGGTTGGCTAATGGTACAATCCAGGCTATCGCGATCTTCGCGGACTTTCAGCATAAGGTGGAGATGGTGATGGGAGGGCAGTAGAGGGTTGGTTAGTGGTGGTGGTGATTGGGCTAGAGTCAATGAGGCACTCTCGCGGGACTGAAACGTTCTTGGAACTTCTTGAGTTAGGGCTATCTCTAGCACAACCCAACATATAGTGAATAACATTATTAGATGGAACTGTGCCTCTACAACATATGCTCCGACTCTACAACACATGATCCGTAAAGTCCACCACGATAACCTGATCAACCAGAGGACGTAGCTCGCGTCCCAGTCCCAAGTGCACCGGATCGCTCGAGACGTAGTAGTCCCGATCCTCTGGCGACTCAAACTCGGCTACGAACCCGTGGGTAATCCCATGCTGGGCCAGTGTTATCATCTGAGCACCTGACAGCCTCGGACCTAGAGCACTCACTTGCATCCCCTCTGGTGAATGATCCTTGCCACCCCTGAAGGAGACGATGTAGGGCTGCCCGGTCGTGGGATGAATACATCGATGCTTCAGGGCGAGAACGTCCTTGCAGGCCTAGACCAGCAGCAAAATTAGGGAATGTTTGAACCCTGCAGGTAGTTATCCTTCCAATGCAGGTGAAAACCCACCTGATTGACCACCTCTGGGGACAGGCCGGACTTGAATTGAAAGAGAACGATGTGGGTGACGGCCATGATTGCTGGCTTGGGCAGACCGACTCTCACGTTAAATTGGGCTGCTGCAATCTATCACCTTGCATGTCCGAGCCGGCGCGTAAACTTATAACTTTTGACCCCTGGTCAATTGCGCTTGTCAATCCGCCTGGCCACGTCAATCCCACAGATCAACGGGTAAGCAAACATCTCCACCACCGTGACGGACATGTTTAAAAGCCAGTTGCATCCACGACAACTCCAGCCTACCCCTAATCGACATCAACAACCTGCACCTCCCCAGCAAACACCCTGACAATCAACAACCAACCAACCAGAGATCTCATCCAACATTACCACACAGCCCATTGACAAGCAAAGATGCCACAGTGGCAAACACAGCACACCTCCACCCCTCTCCCCACCCCCTCCGAGCTTTCCTCTTTCTCGCTACGCGCCCCTCCCGCCACTGACCTGTGGGCCTCGGCCCCGGACACCTGCATCTTCACCGCCCCGTTCATCTACCAGGCAATGCCCCTGGCCTCCTTCCGACGGGCCCGCGTCACCATCTCCGCGGAGCTAGCCGACCAGCCCTACGCCCAGGCCGGCCTGGCTCTGCTGCTCCCGCAGTCCGACGGCCAACGCAGATGGGTGAAGACCGGTGTCGAGGTTCTGGGGGGTAGGCGGGTCCTGGCGACGGTGGGGCGGGATCGGTGGCCGGATTGTAGTCTCGTGGCTGCGGATCCTGCCCTGGGCAGGGTGACGGTGGAATTGATGCGGCAGGGGGATAATTTGGTGGTTAGCCGCGTGATGAGTACGGAGAGTGGGGAGGCGGAGAGGGAAATTCTCCGTGAGTTGGGGTGGGTGTTTGCTTCGTCGGTTGGGTATACGATTCAGGAGCAGTGCTGGGTTGGGGTCTTTGTTGCGAATCCGTCTGGTGAGGCGGAGGCGTTTGATGTGCGCTTTGAAGGACTGGTTGTGGAGGGAGTGGAGGATGAACCTTGATCTCTGGGCTTAGAATTATCGCATTGGTACGTAGAGGGCCATGCTAGGCCGAGCGAAGCATACTATCTAGCTATCGATGGATGCTGCTACGGCACGTCTTCAATTCCCGCGGCAATGGTCTCCTCTAGACTAATCCAGCCCGGCTGGCCGTAGAACTCGCGCAGTAGGTCCTCCGCGCGGCGCGTGGGGAGGATCTCGCTCGCATCGCGGCCCTCGTTGGCCGGCGGGTCGGGGATTAGGGCATTGTCTGGTCGCAGCCGGCGCAGGATGCTGACCACGTCCGTCCAGTTGAACTCGGAGGCAAAGGCGAAGATGCGTTCCCCCCTCACGGCGGGGCTGAGCAGCGCGACGACATGCAGTCGCGCCGTGTCTTCGACGTTGACGTACCATTCTGCTCGTACGGACGGTGAGGATGGGACAGTACTGGGGCTAATGCCTGGACAACTGGGCAGAATGACCTACGCGGAGGGAACTCGTCCATGACCGAACCGTCCCCACGGAGGAGGTTTCTCATTCGGATCATACTCGATCCTGCAACTTGAGGATGCAGGATCCGTCCGAACTAGGTGTGGTTAGACTCTGCGAGACCTGGTGGTTTGGCCATGCTCACGTTGGAGTTCGGGACGACGGTGTTGAACTCGAGCCGGGGCTTGCGCTCCCTCACCCATCGCCAACTCTCACGCTCTTGTTCGGTTTTGGCGGCGGAGTAGATATGATATGCTCTCTTCTCTGGAGGAGTGGATTCATCCCAGGCGGCGTGGACAGAGACTTGGTTCCATGTAGCTGTTTCACACTCATATTTAGATGCTAGACACCTTCACCATGGAGGCAGTGGACCTACTCTCATCGACTACGGTCTTCAGACCTGGGGTTGGGAGCAGCGCCGCCGTAGAGGACGATGTTAGCACGAACCGCGTCGCAGATGATTGACTGGCGGCAGCTTCCAAAAGGTGGATTGCCGCTCGCTTGACCCATGGGATCACCGCATCGGGGTCAGAATTGAACGACATGTCCGATGCCTGCATCAGATGTTGTTTCTTAGCACGGTTCCGAGACATGAACACCAATTTTACATACGATATGCAGAACTCCAGAAACATCTTGCATTGCCCGACGGCACATTTCCGGGTCATCCAGCAACGGGATGATGATGCTCTCATAGCGACCTTCCCCGTAACGTTCTGTAAAGTAGCTGTCCAGCCAGGGTTTCGCCGTGCGGACCGTCCCGCGGACCTTGTAGCCTCGCTGGAGCAGGATGTCGATGGTATGCGACGCGATGTAGCCGTTTGCTCCGGTGATCAGGATCAGGGAGCCTGGGGGGATGACGTAGTCTGTTGAGTGCAGCATGTTTCTTCTTTGTTGTATAGTAGCGAACGCTGGATTTGTGTCGAGGAGAAGTGCTGGATGGGCTGAGTGTATGCCATTGCTTCTTTATCTAGGTCGTCGAACACAGCATCGACCATGATCATGAGGTCAACTGATGTCAAGCTATGACGACGTCATCTCATAGACTAATCACTCTGTAAAGGTGTCTCCATGTGCCACCGACCTGCATTGAAACCTTGTCATCCCTCCTCCCCAGCCCCGAAATCAGCGTGGCGACCCAAATGTTTGTGCGGATCAAACATCTTCAATTCACTCCGATCCGCCGGCTGGTCCAATTGTCTGTTAGAACCAAGGCAGGCGCAGCATGTGATGCTCAGCTCCTGGGTGGAAAGTGAAATATTCTACAGCCTGAGCCCCAAATATATTCCCTGAGGTCTCCAGACGTGACCAGCGGTTTCTGTCCGTGACTATCAACCCAACCTCACTCACCACACCCAGCATGACAGACATTCCAAGCAGCAGACCCGGGGTCCAGGCTGTCTCCAAGGAAGCTCTTCTCGAGGATATCATCGCGATCCTCAAGCGTGATGGCTGCTTGGTTGTGAAGGAGCTCGTTTCCCCCGCAGACGTCGACCAGGTTAACCAGGATGTCCAGGAGAGACTCCACCGCGATCTCGAATGGAACGGCAGCTTCTTTCCGAGTAGGAGTCTCCTTTCCCTGGGCTGTATCTTCCACAGCCTCAACTGATTGTACCTGCTGAGACCGATGGTGGTAGAGAAAACCCGACGGGCCCCGTCGATGGTCGCCCTCAGTCCCACTTACACCCGCACCCAGGTGATGAACCCCCTCTTCCAGGCCGTCTGCGCGCACTTCCTCACCACGCGCAGCGTGTTCTGGTGGGGTGACCAGCAGAAGGAGTCCGTGTCCAGGCCGTACGTGACCTCGTGCACGGGGATCGATGTCGGGCCCGGGGCCCAGGCCCAGCCGCTGCACCGCGACTCGTACATCAACCACAACATCCTGCCGGAGATCGAGGCATGGGACGATGAACGCGACCAGACCCGCGAGACGGCGCTGGGCATGATGGTCGCGGGGTGTAAAGTCACCAAAGAGAATGGGGGGACGCAAGTCATCCTGGGGAGTCATCTCTGGTAAGCCTTTCCCGTTGGGCTGGTCGAAAGGCATCACGACAAGCAGCCATATTGATAACCTTGATTTCTGGGTTCATGCGCGCACAGGGGAACCCACCGCACGACGCCGCCCGACGTGCGCGACTGTGTCGTGGCCGAGCTGGACAAGGGTGATGCCCTGATCATGTTCTCCTCCCTCTACCACGGGGGTGGAGCCAACACCAGCCGCGATGAACGGCGCATCGCGTACGCGACCTTCGCCGTGCGCGGCTACCTCCGCCAGGAAGAGAATCAGTACCTGGCGGTGCCGCGGGAGGTGGTGCAGCAGTACGATCATGGGACCCAGCGGTTCATCGGGTATTCCATGAGTGATCCGGCCTGTGGGTACGTGGAGGAACTCAGTCCGTTCTATCTGCTTCATCCGGAGTTGTTGCAGGATGCTAGGCCACAGGACTTTTGAGGGGCGGGACGTGTGTGTGAGTTTGTCTATGTGTGCTTCTGCGTGAAATGCCTGGATTCTGCATCGGATGGACTTTAGAAGGGCTCCGGGGCAGGGGATGATAGAAACGAGACAACGTCTCTGGCAAGAACATCAGGAGAATAGATTATTGGCTTACCCAGAGTATGATTTGGTCACCATCTCCTGCTCTCACCGTGTCGGTCTTAGGGCTCGGGATAAGAAGCGTGGAAAGAGGTCCTTGCAACCGTCTCGTACAATGCACCTTTGTCCTCAAGCACCTGGGACCTTATCTGACCTCTCTTTGCGGTGACCTTCAGTAATTCATAAAGAAACAGTCTTCTCCTTCCAGCCCGGATTGAGAAGCTCTAGGAAGATGGTTGAGCTGTTGTCCTTGATAACAATGCATGGTGCCGGGTTGATTGTGTAATGCCGCACAGCCTAGCTTTCTATCCTCACCCGGGACCAACCGATCCTGCATTCCTTGTACGGTTCAAATAATCATCCGAAAAAATAAACAGATAGACAAACAGACAAACAGACAGCCAGCCAGGCCCAAAGAAAACCAGAAAGGAAACCAAAAGCTTAAATACCCTCAAGCAAAGACAAGGCTCCATAACCAGCTCACGCTCGCCCAGAGCAGGACGGTCGCGACCCCGAAACCAATGAGGAAAGAACCTCCGTCAACACCTTCATCGGCCCTTCCTTGGCGACGGTATCTTGCCACCAAGGCCTCCATTTCTTCTCTGGTCAATCCAGCGTCAGTGTACGGAGGTTCCTTTGGGTTGATCTGGGGCAGACAGGCCATGTTCCTCACAGATGGCCGGGGATCGAGTTGGTCGAGAGGGATCATGACGATGGGAATGGGATCAGCGAAAATATTGGCTTGCACCTGCCCATCCACGTTGCTATAGTCGGGGTCGCTCTCGGGGGCGTCGCGCAGGGCAAGCATATCTGCCGTTGTGTCAACCAGGATCACAAATTCCCTTTGCGACATATTGGTCTCCTAGTTGGCCTATTGCCGGGAGGCGAAGGTCATCGGAAAGGACTCACCTGAACATGATGCGGGCCACGTGGTTTTACCAAGCTCTCAACTGCCAGTTCTTTGATGACTACTAACTCTGCATTCTGGAGTTGTTGGGAGTTTCTACTCAGAATTGTTGTGTCGTATGGATCGATTCCCAGGACCCTGGCAAGGATCCCCTAAATTGATGAGTGGTCTGGGCATCCAGCGAGAGGAAGCATGGATCGTGGATCACAACAAGGGAAGCGCAGTGGTTGATTCACGACCGGGCCCGCGGCCACGACGATTGGCGGGATCAAAATCATGGTCGGGCTTTGTACCAGCCAACAGGGAACCCCCCACCCAACAAATTCATTCGTGTGTCTATTCTTTCGGAATTTGGCGGTGCTCCGGTAGAGGAGGTGAATCTCCAGTAGAGTGTGAGGGTGTAGCGAGGTGAAATTCCCCTGGCGCAGGCCTGTGTAGTGTGGTCTGGGGCAGCCTGGATCGTTGGATGGACAAGTGTTTCGATCGTGGCATGTTTCTCGCCAGGTCAAGTAGACTCGGTAGGTAGATTCCGCGGTCTGTGGAATGTGGAATTAATCGCGTTGAGCCGGTTGTACTTGCTGTCGATGTTCGTCAACATGGGTGGAACAATAGAGACTTCGAGGGCGGTCTGGTCTCATCGAGCCGGATCTTCACTCACTAAGGAAGTCAGTTAAGATTGACCTTCTGAGAGAGCTCATTGTAGCTTTGCGAGAAGGGTGATCTGATGCACTGACTACATTCAACGTAGATGCAGTTTGGAGCATGATCATGGAAGTGTGGTTGTGTATAAGGTAGGTATACCTAGTGGTAGGTAGGATGAAGAGACAGTCACGGACGGGCGGTGTTGATTGGAGCGGGAGAGAAGAGCGCTGCGCCACCGCTGAGTCATGAGGAACTGAGCCACACCTCGCGGGCAGCGGGTAGTCTGCGCCACAGGCTCATCTGCTTGTTCCGTACGAAGTATGGAGTACAGTACGTACAGTATACACTTGGTGACATGATCAGGGCGAGAAATGAGAATCGAGATCTGAATGAGCAAGAACATGGCCTGGCTGGTGAGCAGAATGACCGGTCTTTATAACTATGACCCTCTGGTGTATGATTGAGTAGGTATGATTGATGCTACACCTATTGAGGCTAAGTTACCGTCGTATCAATCCGGTGACTAAGTCTGGCTGGCCGGGGCGGTAACCTTGAAGCAAACTGAACTCCCCGGTCGGCACTTTCGGTTGGGCTACAACACCACAACACCACCACCACACTACCACGGTCGTCGTCGTCGTCATCATCATCATCCCCGATTCTACTCCCCGACCCATGGCCACCACTACCCCACTCACCGGGGGCTGCTTATGCCAGAAGATCACCTACCGTGTGGATCTTCCTCCCACCGAACCCGCCCCCAAGGTACTGTCCAGTCACCCCAGCCTCCATCCACTCCATGGAACTTATCCCCTTTGAGCCTCCTTCTAATCTCAAACCCCCCAATGCCAGATCATCCTCTGCCACTGCACCAGCTGCAAGCGCTACACCGGCTCCGCCTTCTCCTCCAACCTCATCGTCCCCGCGGCCGCCCTGGTCTTCACCACCGACACCCCCAAGCTGTACCTCGGCCACAGCGACCGCGGACCCCCCGTGCGCCGGCAATTCTGCGCGGACTGCGGCACCCCCTTCACCTCGCAGCCGGGAGACAACGACGAGATCATCATCCTCAAAACGGGGACGTTGGACGAGGCGAGTCGCGTGCGCTGCGGGGAGGTGGGGCTGGCGATCTGGGGGCGGAGTAAGGAGGCGTGGCTGGACCAGATTGGCCGGGTGCGGTGCTTGGAGACGAGTATGGGGTAGAGTTTGAGGGGTCTCATAGAGTAGTAGATTGCACATAAAGTAAAGTTTAGCGAGAATGCACATAGGGTCGAGATGAGATGGGAGGCTCGAGCTCGTATTTACAGTACGTGAGAGGGGATGGGTATGTTGTTAGCCAGCCCGGGTCTGTACCACTCGGTCCCGCTGGCAGGCATGCAGTGCCACAGTGCCTTCCATCATCTAAGTATAGGTATTCGCTAATTCGCTAACGCTAACTACACGTACGTAGGACAGTACTCACTCTCCATCACTAAGTGCGTACTTACAGTCGCACCGACTTCTCCGCGGCGCGCTCCAGCACCCACTCCGCCAGATCGTCCGCATACACCGGTCGGTTCTCCGGCAGATCCGCATGCAGGATATGGCTCCAGCCGTCGTAGGAGACAAACTTCTTCTGCGTCGACGGCACCCGCGAGGTCTGCTGGTCGAACCAGCGCTTGCTGAGGTCGTGGCTGGTGCACTGATCGCCCGTGCCGTGGACGACCAGCACCGACTGCACGCCCGGGGACAGGACCAGCTTGCCCGCGGTGAGGGCGGCGGCGCGGTCGAGCATGTTGGCGAACATCTCCAGCGTGCCCGTCAGGTGGTTGAGCGGGTCGTTCTTGACCTGCGCCTGCACGGCCGGGTCCCGCACCAGATTCTCGATCACCATCTGCTGCGTGAGCTGGAAGTGGGGGAGCAGGCGGCCGGCCAGCCGGCCCGCGAAGACGAGGAGGGAGCTGGGCGTCTGCTCCGGCGTCAGGCCGATGTACGGCGCCTCGAGCATGATCCCCCGCAGCGAGGCCACCAGCGGTTGGTACTGCGGGGTAGACGCGAACGTCGCCACGAGCCCGCCCCCCATGGAATGGCCGCTGATGAAGACGGGGATGTCGGTCGGGGCGACCTGCTGCTGGGCTGTGATGAAGGCGGCCATGTCGGCGAGAATGGCCGGGGTCGGCCCCGTGTTGCCGCGGTCGGCTTTGCGGTGCACCGATCGGCCCCAGCCCCGTTGGTCGATCCCCGCGCAGAGGATGCCGTGTCGCGCCAGGGCGGGGAAGAGGTCGAAGTAGTTGTTGATGTGGTCGCTGAAGCCATGGAAGTGGACGATTTTGGCGAGGGGAGGGCTGGTGGGCTGTGTTGATGTGTTGATGAGTCAGCTGTTCTGCATCAACTAACTACATAGTGTACTGAAGTAAGATACTGTAGTAAGGGTGTTCAACTCACCGACCAGGTCTTTTGGTAGACCTCCACTCCATCCGGCAGACGAAAGGTCCCCTCCGTGATGGTGACGTCGCTCATGATGGATCTTAGGTAGACTGGGTACTATGCTGGTGAATGGGATCTATCGCTAATCTACTATGTAGATCTGATCTAGATTGATCGCAGATTGGTCGGGTAATTTGACCAGATAGAGATCAACGTTGGGAATTTCCCCACAAGGCGGATTGTGGTTGGAATGAGTGTGGGGGGAAGTGGGAGTTAAGCGTAGGGAAGGGGAAAAAAGAGAAAGAGAAAGCGAGGGCGAGGAGCGGAGAACCTTGGGAGTTACTGGACTGTACACGTATGTGTCCAGTTGCCAAGCGGCGGGCTTCTCCCTCGGCTCCAGGCTGCGATGCATGCATGCATCCATCACATGGCCGGTGCGGAGCACACGGAGTAATTACGGGGCATCATTTGTTGCACTAGTACTGTTTAGGAGCGGTACAGTACAGTACATACATCTTGAGATTGGTGGTCTGCTGCAGGTGTGACCGGACTGGTGAAAGAATACGGAGTATAATTCGGCACTTGGGGATTACCAAGTCAATTATGTAAGCTATGCAGTGCACAGTCGAGTCACGTGTATGGGTCCAGCCCTGCTCGGCCAGGATATATACTACCTAGTACCTACTTGCTAGGTATACACAGAATCATCTAGAGAATAACTTACACGTACGGTCAGCTACTCCGTCAACCCAACTCAAAGACGGACCAACCGACTACCCTAGAGCCAGCTCGGTAGTGTACGACCAATGCCGGGCTCCACTCTTCTCCAAGTGAGGGGGTTGCATGTAGATGTAACCTCTTAAGCGAATCTGACAGGTCGAGTCCCTTTCCTTCGGCCACGCGACTCAACCCAGCACCCTGTGCCGAGTCAGACATCCAACAATGCAAGGGCCATCCCTACATTGCGCCTGGCTCTCAGGTTGCTCAACCCATTGTCCCATTGCGGCTATACGCAACCTTAATCCGACGTTTATCCTTCACTCTTCATCCAGTTATTCTTGACAGCCACCAACCTTCGGAGTTGTCGAACACCACGAATCTGATCTATCACCCGCGGCCTCCCCCTCTCTCGTCATGTCCCTGTCGATCGCGATACATCGCAAGCCCCTATCCCCCACTCCCTGGTCTTCTCCCCAAAACAGCCGCTGCAGAAATAGTCATCAGGTCGCCCGTCCGCTGCGACCCGGGCCATGATTCCAAATCTCGTCCGCCACCCACCGCTTCTGCAACCCATCACCTGCAGCCGCCATCGCCGATACGATCGGTATCGCATCGTCTCCCACCATGTCCTCCGAGCCCACGGAGGGTGATTTCGACCATCCCAACCAGCAGCTGCGACGATCCGTCATCATCGCCCTGCCGTTTGCCTTCGCTCTCTCGACAATCGCGGTGGTGCTGCGTCTGGTGGCGCGCCGAGTCAACGGCACGCGCCTGTACCTGGACGACTATCTGATTATTGTTGCGCTGGTAGGCATTCACCTCGCATCTCCTGGACATTAATTAACCGTGGTTTAGATCTTCAAATATGGCTGTTCAATCGGGGTCGTCATCCGTAGGTCTACCCTGCCCGGCCGATCGCTGAATCTAACCAACCACTTCCACTGTACCCAGTCCTCTGGAACGGTCTAGGATCCCACATCACCATGATCCCGCAGAAGAACCTGGACGTCTACTTCCAGGTCAGCCCCACCTCATCGTGACAGTTCCTCCACATCAACCTGACCAACCCATAGATCGGCTGGTCCAACGGCTTCGTCTACCCGCTGTGTATCGCCTTCATCAAACTCTCCATCCTGGCCTCCTACAAGCGCCTCTTTGCCGCCCGCAGCATGTCCGTGGCCGTGACCCTGGTGGCCACCGCCGTGGTCCTCTGGGTCGTGGGCGTCAGCGTCGCGGGGGTGCTGTCCTGCGTCCCCGTGGCCAAGTTCTGGCACCGTGAGATCCCCGGCCGCTGCATCGACCCGGCGACCTTCTACTACGGGCAGCAGATTCCCAACATCGTTACGGACGTGGTGCTGCTCGTGATGCCGCTGAAGAGCGTCTGGGCGCTGCCGATCGCCAAGACGCAGCGGGCGTTGCTGTCGGGGGTGTTTTTGGTGGGGGTGTTGTACGTGCTCCCTTGGTTCACTTCAGATATTTGCTACGTGCTGATCGGGCTGGTGCAGAACGTTGATCTTCGACATCGTGCGCTTGGTCGCGATGATCCACATCACCGAAACTGGACCGGATATCACTTGTGCGTATCCCCAACCTAGATCTCGAGATGCAACCGGTGTGGCTGCTAACCTGTCGACATGCGAGCAGACAACCAAGCCCCCGTGGCGGTGTGGACGTGCACCGAAGCCGCGGTGGGGATCATCGCCGCCTGTCTCTCGCATCTGCGGCCGCTGTTCCACCTCGGGGCCAGCAGGAGGCTGTGGCGCCAGCCCAGCCCGGAGCTGCGCAAGCGCGAGCTGAACCCCCCGCCGGAGGAGGGGTTCTCGACCGATGACACCCTGTTTGATCCGTGGGGGACGCAGCATAGTGGGTTTACGGGGCATAGTGTTTGTGTGGAATCGGGGAAGTAGCCTGCATGCCCTCAGGCAGGGGATCCAGAACATGGGGTCGGGCCTCAGGGGAGGGCTTGGTGTCTGTTGGTGGGATTGACGGTCGATGTATATACTACCCTTCGTGACTCTCATTCATACAAACTTTTACACTTTCACACGGAAGATCTCGATCTAAATCCTCACCTTCGTGACTTCCATTGATACAATCTTTAACACTTCCGCACAGAGAACCCCTACCTCAAACCCACTACACTTCTTCGTAGACTCATAACCCCGACTACACCACAGTCACATCCCCATCAGCCCTCACCGTCACCTCTCCCTCCGCAAACCGCGTCAACCGCTCCCACCCCTCCGCGGTCACAAGAAACGTATCCGACAGCTGGACACACACACCCCCCGCTCCAGGGACAAGAATATTGACCTCCACCGCAACCACCATGCCCGCCTGCAGCATCCTCTCCTCCCTCTCCTCAAGAAAAAACAGCTCATGCGGCCCCAACCCCACCGAATGCCCGATCCGCCCTGGGACATACGCCGCGTACCCTCTCACCTCATACCCCCGTACAGCAGCGCGGTACAGCTCCCGCACCGCCGCCCCGGGCCTCAGGAGCCTCAACACCTCGGCCCGGATATCCAGAGCATCGCGCATCGCGCGCCGCGGCGAAAGACCCCCCAGCCCCAGCCCCAGCCCCACCTCGCCGATCCAGACCGTGCGCTCCAGCTCCGCGTGCATCCCGTTGGCCACCGCCCACACAAACACCGAGACACTCTCCCCGGGCCGCGGGACCCGGGGAAGCGGGTTGTCGCACCCGAACGCCTGCCGCGGGCCCGAGAGCACCCACGCCGTCAACCCGCTGTTGACCCCGCCCTCGGGGGATCCGAAGTCGCAGATCTCGACGCTGGGGTAGTGGACCGCCCAGTGCGCGTGCATGCTCTGCAGCGCGGCCAGGACGGCGTCGCGCTCGCTGGTGCTGGGGTGCGCGAGTGCGGCGATGGCGGATTCCATCCCTTTCTCGGCGAGGGTGGCTGCGATGCGGGTGTGGGCGATCTCATCGGGGTCTTTGATGGCCCTGCTGGCGTGGAGGAGCGGCGTGCAGTTGGTTAGCGTGGCGGTGGAGAGCGTGTGGCGGAGGAGGGTGTGTTGGGTTGCGGGGAGCGTGTCGTGCTCGATGCCGATGGTCGGGTGCGTGGGGAGGTCGCAGCCGTCCAGGAGGGTGGTCAGGGCGGCGGGCCAGGTCGGTGCGAGGGTTGGGGTTGGTCCCCAGGTGCCGTACAGGTGGATGGTGGGCGTCCAGGCGCTGGACCTGGCGTGCGTGCTGCGGAGGGCGTGCACCAGGAGGATGGGGCCGGATTGCCGCGGGAGGATGACCAGGACGGGGTCGGAGTAGATGATCGGGTTGAAGCCGGAGAGGTAGAAGGTCGAGGTGGGTTGGGTGCAGATGATGGCGTCGAGGTTGTGGGCTGTCATCTGGGATTGGAGGTGTTGCACGCGGGGTGGTGGAGAGGCCATGACAGGGAAAGGCATGGGTAGGAATGGGGTTGTATCAGGGCTCGCTTGCAGATGGGTCAGGGACGGTACGGGTGGAAATTATATATCTCTCGTTCACGTCGTCAACAGTGCATGCCTGGCTCGCTTGGAGGTGACGAGGCAATATCTCAGACATATTGGAGTATGTTGACTAGCTTCCCGAATACGCGAGTCAAAGTAGTGAGATGGTGGAGTGTTGTGGTCCCGAGTGTATAGTTGGCTGAGATGGGTCGGCCTCCGCCTCACCCCTGTCCATATTGACAACATTTTTGCCGACTTCAACAAGCGGTCTCCATGGTGTAGTGGTTATCACGTGGGTCTCATATGCAAATATGACTTGGAAGTCGCACTTCCAGGACATCCCAAGGCCGGGAGTTCGATCCTCCCTGGGGACATGTGTTTTTGCTTGTTGCCTTTTCTGGTCCGGCCATTGCATAGGAAGAGAGTAGGGCACGCGCATTGAAAGGTCAATGCACATCGTGCGATTAGATAAATTGTTGAGTATTCACAATCCCTGACCTTACCCGCGTCCCCCTATCTTCATCCCTGCTGCCATGTCAGTACTCCCACCCCAACAACATCAAAGGACTAACGCGAAGACATCGCCCCCTTTACCGTCAACCCCCTGCTTCTGAACCAGCACGACTCTGCTGCCTCTGACGATTGATCTTTCTCTACGCACGGACTGAAAGGTCACTCGACAAATCCCGACTAAGAACGGGGTCTATTGAAGCTTGTAAGAACCCATGTCTCAAATGCCCCTGAGTTGGCAACGGACATCCACTCAAAGAGTCTAGAGCAATTGAATCAATCTGCATGCCACCACTGCAGAGGATAGCACCCCTGACCCTAGACCGAGTCCTGCAGTCCTCCCCAATTTATACCATTGGCACCCCCATCATACTCTCCATAGCTAGGTAAAGATAGAATATCCTGCTCAGCGGCTAATGATTATCCTGCCGCCTCAACAATGTACATATATCGAGTGCAAGGTCAGACAAGGATCCCAAATCGTGAAGACTGCCAGTGGTTGCGCGAGGACCTGGCTACTCGCAGTCTGCTCTTCTTCCTCAAACCTCCCTCCATGCCGTTTGAGGTCATCCTTATAACAAAGAGCACTACAACGCACCTAAGGCAAGACATCCGTAGCATAAACCATTCGAGCGTCAGTGTTGGCCCATCCTGGACTCGGCTACCTCCGACGGAGGAATTGACCACCGCTCGTACACCCGAAGCCCCATTTGTCGCAGCTGGAGACAGGCAAGCCGAGGAGATATCTGTGCAGACGCTATGATCCCATTAGGCTCTCAACGGAGCTGGAAGACTGCGTGGAGGCCCGTGCCTCAACGCAAAAATCCAAGACATCGAGTTAGGGCTCCCGGCAAGGCCTAGACCGGTCAATTGGCAGTGTGCAATCCAACACTACACAGACATCAATACCTTCACCTATCACCCCTTGAGATATCCAGGGAAAAGGAGAACATGACTCTCTTCAATCGGGGCTGACCAGATCTCAGCATATAGTTAAATAGCGCCAAGGGTCGTGAGAACACAGCACCCTCAGTTCATGTCGAAGCCCTACTCCTCAACTCATCACTCGCACCCCCGACCGAATCACCATGTCCACCCCCCAGCTACTATACTTCCACTGCCCCGAAGCGGCCCTCTCCTTCCGCGCGAAGCTCCTCGCCGCGGACAACCCGGACGTGGCCGCGCAGCTGGTCGCCCACCTGCCCCTGCAGAGCGTCCTGGGCCACGTCGTCATCTCCGGCGAAGCCTTCTGGCTGCCGACGCGCATCGTGCACCTGGGCCGCGACCACCTGGTCCCGCGACACCCGGGGGCCGTCTATCTCAACGCCGTCGGGGGCTCGCTGTGCCTGACCTACGGGCGCGTCACCGAGAGCGCGCCGGTGAACAAAGTGGCCGACGTCGAGGCGGCGGACCTGCCCGCCCTCGTCCAGCTGGGCCGTCTGGTGTACGAGCAGACCGTCGCCAGCGCGCGCCACTCCCTCCTCACCATCCACGTTAGCCTGCATCCTGACCCTCACAGCCCACCCAAGCACAACCTCAAGCTCACGACGGGGGACCACCCCCAAGGATCCGACAACAACCACTCCCGCCCCCTCGACAAACCCCTCCCAACCACAACCCCTCCACAGCCCCAAACATGGCACTCAGCCCTCACCACCATAACCACGCAAACCACCACCATCTGGCAGCACATGCCCCCGAGCATCCACCGCATCAAATGGGGCCTCATCCCCAGCGGCGCCGGCACCGGGGCCCAATACTTCTCCGTGCTGGTGCACCTGAAATCCTTCCTCCTGCATCTGGGCGGCGACGTCCTCTACCGTCTGCTCAAGATCTCGCTGTACCCCGAACTCCCCTTGGCGGTGGTGCAGCGCATGACCCGCGAGTTCCTGGTGGTCAGTTTCAATACCTTCGATATGTTGGTCGATCTGGGGCTGGAGGAGATGCGGGTCATTGGGGAGGTGTATTTGTGGGGGCTTGGGAGGGTGGCCTGTAAGGAGGAGTATCGCGTGTTGACTGGGGCGTTGTTCACCTTTGTTTGTCGCATGCATCGCTGGGTGCATTTGGTTTTTCCGTGGAATCTTGGGGCCGCGTTCCCGCATCGGCGCGTGGAGGAGATTTTGGGGGTGGTGGGGGTGGTTGGGGGGTTTAAAGCTGGGCATGAGGGGATGGGAATGGCATTTGGAGAGGGGGTGGATGGGCTAGATGGAGGAGGTTTGGAGGGAGGGGTGAGGGTAAGGGTTTAGGGAAGAGAGGGTGGGAGGTTCGACGCGATGGGGGTGAAGGGCGTGGTTGAGAGAATGGAGGAGGCACCGATTTGATATCGTTTCAAGTCAGGGATGGAGGCTGCAGCTGTGGTTGGCGTGCGGGGTATATATTTGTCACATACCAGATTGTTCTGTTCTTGGTTTGCTGTATAGGGTTTTCTTCAGTCGTCTTAATACTCTACTCCAGGTATGGAAATATCATCCAGGGCCTTTCTTGCTATGTAGCTGAAGAAGAACAGTGTGTAGGAAATTGAACCTGACTCCTCCAATTGCAGACTATGGATCACGACGATGCTTAACGCCAAGTGAAAGGCTAGAGACCCGACTACAAGTGGTGATTACCTGCGCTGCACGGTGCACAGTTATCTCTGAAACCCATCCGGCTGTATCTCCTCAAGCTGTCAGAATAATTTCATTGTACATGTACACTACATTCACCCTGGCATACCCCTAATGCTCACATAGCGAGAACGAGCCCGTCTCAAATGCGTCATTCTGCTTGTCCTGGAACACACTCCGCTCCTCCATCAACTCCAACCGATACGACTTCGCCTCCTCCATGGTCATCAACCCCTGCGCCAACGCCCCCTGGTCACCCGCCCACTCCGCCTGCTGCGGCGGCACGTTAGCCGTGGAGATCACCCGACGGTGCGGGTCGATCAGGAACAGCGCCAGGATCTTGCGATGGCCCGGTTTCGTGGGGTCCGCCAGCGCGAACGGCGCCACACGGTGCTGCACGGTGTTCGGGAAAGTGACCAGACGCCCCTCGTGGCAGACCACGCTGCCCAGGTCCTGCGTGAAATGCGCGCTGTCGTTGTGGCCGTCGACGTCCGCGCCGAACCCGTACACCGCGTGGATGAACTCGTGCCGGTCCTGCTCGTAGCCCATGTCGTAAATCGTTTGGGCCCGGTGGCGGAAGGCGAGGCGGCTTTCCGTGATGTTCGCGCTGTCGTAGTAGTAGATCGCTGTGGCGCAGATTCGCTCATTCTACAGTGGAAGTAAGCTTTAGCATCATTTGATATTGAGGTGAGGGGAGGGACGTACCAGCTGCCCTTCAATGTGCCAGGACCCGCCCTCGTAGGTCGGCTTCTCGGGCGTCAGTTCGATGTTCGCCAGCTTGACGATCACCTGCAGCCCGGTCTCACGGAACTTCTCGCGCAGATCCATCGGCCCCTCGTAGGAGACCTTCGGAGGCACGAAGGTGGGTCGAGGCTCCGGGAGCTTGATGGGGCGCGCCTTCCACCATGCATCCGAGCGCTGCTGATAGTCATCCTCATAGCCCTCCTCGTCTTCCTTGTCGCTCTCCCATTTTGGCTCCGGGGTCGAGCGGTCCAGGTACTCCACCCGGTCGTAGAGGATGCGGGCATTCTCGTGCTGCCGAGTTCTGGTCAGACTTTTGTTCCACTGCGGGATGGCGCGGGCGATGACGTTCTCGACGACCGCGTACAGGCTCTGATGGCGCCGCGGGTGGAGGTTGTTGATGTACGAGACGATGCGGCAGTCGCCGTTGTCAGAAAATTCCACGTCGCACGGAAGCCATTGGAATTTCTGGCTGTAGACCTTGTAGCCCGAAGACATCCAGCGCCAGTGCAGGTCGCGACCCTGGCCTTTGGATTCCTCGTCCGTGGGCACGGGCAGCACTTCCCCGTGGCCGAGGTGCTCGAGGCAGCTGGCCATGGTCATGGTGCGGTCCGGCAGGATGCGCGTGCGGCCGTAGACGAGCGGAAATAGCGAGGGATGCACCAAGTCGAGGACCTTGTTGTCTGAGCCTGGGTGGTAGTCTTTCGCCTCCTCGGGGATGTCTTCCAATGGCGCTACGGCGTCCCGCAGTGCCTGCTGAAGGTCCTTGGGGATGGCTGTGTCAGACCGGACGACCCCTACGTGATCGAAGAGGGCGAACGTCCCCTCCTCCTGCAGCACCTTTGCTTTCCACCTCATCTCGGCAATGATCGCGTCGACCATGGTGGGGGTGACGTCTTGCCCGGCCTCGGCGATCTCCTGGCGCCACTTGGCCGTGATTTCCTCGTCGAATACCTGAGCAGGGGTTAGAATGCTTCTCTCTCGGACTGGCTGGTGATTTACCTTGCGGTCCCAGTTGGGCTTCTCAGAGATGGTGTTCATGATTTGCAGCATGAGGATCTCGCGGTGGACGAGGAGATTGCTGAGCGGACTGTTAGTCGGCGACGGCTACATTTGGTGTGGTACTTGGTTGCAGATGCTTACCCGATGTAGCCGTCATAAATATCTTTGCTATCCAGTGCATTGGGCAGTGTTACTCTTTTCAAGGAATATTTAGCCTGGGTTTATTAGCTTGAGAGTGAAATATAATCATGGGCTGGGTGAGGCATAATACCGGGACTGGGTGGTTCAATGGAAGGCCGTAGCCTGGGAGCTCGATCCGTGCAGGTGAAGTGGTCATGGCTGCTGCAATGCTAGTAAAGAAACGAGTGTACATGTGATGGAGTTGTGGTAGCAAGGATTTACTACTCAATAAGTATCGAGTTGGTTGTTGCATGTTTTTATCCAAGCCGGGATGGGAGTCCTGAGGCAGGAACGGGGTGTTCGGTGGCTCGCTGCCTTGACCCCTTTTTGTGGCCCAGTCTCTGCCTGCCAGGCACCCCAGGCACCTCCAGGCATCGCCAGGCATCACTCGGCATTGGTGGGCCGCCAAGCATCGATGTGTGATACCTGGCGATTCAGGCATCCGCAGGCAGCCGAAGACACGCCTCGGCAATTCCGGGTCGCAAGGCATCAGTCTAGTGATACCTGGTATTCCAGGCACCTGCTCCGGAGTAGACACCCAGGCATCAGCACAGGCACTGGCTCTTGTACTGCTGCAGAATCATGCATTCCATCTAATCTATATCTATCATATGCTGAACAATACTCTAGTCTATATACCGGCTAATATGCACCCCATCTCGAATCTCACTTTCACCTCGTACCCCCCTAGGCAAACCCAGGACGGCTCATCTTCTGCACGTAATCCTCCAACAGCTTCTCCTCCTGGTCGACAATCGGCTGAATGACCGTCAATCCGCGATCGATCTCCGTCTTCAACCGCTCCCACTCCGCCGAGTCTCCCGCCGGACCCTCCTTGCGCTGCACCACCTCACCATTGGCATGGCCGTTCTGCGCGCCCGTCGCATGGCCGTTCGTGTCCGCGGCAGCAGCAAAGAACGGGGTGTACCCGGCGGCCTCGAACGCGTCCGTGGGCGGGACGGTGTAGCGGCCCTTCTTGAGCACGTACTTGCTGATGGAGACGGCATACAGGCGCTTGAGCAGCTTCTCGGGATCCTCCTCGACGGTTCTCTTGCCGCTGGGCTTCAGGAAGTAGGTGACGATGTAGATCCACTTCTGGTCGAAGCTGGCGATGTGCGACTTGACCTCGTACCTGGTGTAGGCGGGGATCTCGCGCTTGAAGTTGGTGTAGACGCTGCCCAGGATGAACCCCAGGAACCCCTTCTTGCCCTGCTGCTCCAGCCGCTTCTCCAGCAGGGCGGCCCCCTTGACCACGATGCTGGACATCAGCGCCGTGCGCGACACGTCCAGGTCCGAGAAGTAGGTCGAGTTGGACTTGTGCATGTTGAAGTCGATCTCCATCACGGGCGCCCGCGAGTAGATGCTGAGCGGGCTGAGGATCTCCGTGCTCGGGCGGGCGGGCTGCTCGACGGCCGGGGTGATCAGGTAGCCATATTTGAAGAAGTAGCGGTAGACGCGGATCTACGCAGCACGGAGGGTAGTTAGTGACAGGTGGTTGGCAGGTTGTCAGGAACGAAAAGTGACACTCACATGCCACACCAGGGGCAACGTCTTAAGGTTCAGCAAGGCCAGAACCAGGGCAGTTGTTTTCCAGAAGGTAGCCGACTCCCAGAGGCAGCTGGCGAATGAGCGAATGGCCTCCATCGCAAGGAATGTGTAGCGCTATAGAAACTGGCACAACAGGCAAAAAAACAGAAAGAGTGAATGCAAGGGCTTGAAGCCGGAAGAATGATCGACAGCGCCTCAAGGGGGTTGGGGCCATTTTCAGGGGAGAAAAATTCCTGGCGGTGGGTCCGGCTCGGCAATCGGAGCTGATAAGATAATCAGAGGGGCCGAGGCTGTTTTGACCGATGACGTCGAGCCTGGACTAGAGATGGTTCTAGACTGGGCGTGGAGGAAGTGGATTTGATTTCCGAGTTCAGCAAAAAATGTGTATCTTTTTTCTTTAAATCTAATAGAGCGGGATAAAATCTAATACCACTAGCTCTATAGTATACCGAGTGCTGATCCACAACACGCTAGGAATACTTATATTAGCATCGCCTTGCCCAGCCAGCCAGCCAGCGGAGTCAAACGTCACTCCCGCTGTCATCTAAATATTGTACAACAATGTGGAAGTGCTGGAACAGACATTGTGCTCCTTTCATGAGTAAGATGCGGGTGACCTAAGCGAGAGTAAACAATTCGATGCTCTACTAGCCCTAATAATAAGCTGCATGCAAGCATAGCCGTGTCTCGCCGTTTTCCCCCGCGGGAATAGCCGTCTGAGTCATATCACCCTCCCGCACTTCTTCCTCTGCTGATCGACATACATTTCATTTAACGCTCGAGTAGATAGCCTACGGTTGTCGAATCTCTTCGACAGGGTAGGCTCAAAACTACATCGAAGAGGTATATCCGTGACATAACAATGCCTCCGCCACACGCCTCGGGAGACGCTCTGGTGGAGCACCAAAGTATCGAGTTATCCACCGTGTCTAGCGCGAGAAGCACTGGGAGACGGTCTGCGGGGCCGCCAACCCTGACTCTCAATCAGACTATTCCTCAAACCTCCAAGAAGTAAGCTATAGTTGCTTTCCTCCCAATGACCAAAGCTCACCAGCCAGACAATTCATCATCATCGTCCTCTCCTCCTTCACCATCATCTTCACTTGCTGCGGCCTCAACTTCGCCTGGGGCGTCTACCAAGCCCTCTACGAGAACCTGTCCCACCAACCCAATACTCCCTTCACAGGGGCCTCGCCGGCCGAAATCGACCTGATCGGGACTGTGTCGTGCTCGCTAATGACCATCGGGGCCCCATTTAGCGTGGCGTGGGCTAAAGCCTTCCCGCCGCGCGGGGTCGCCTTCGTGGGCGGGTTCGTGTTCGCGCTATCCCTCGTGCTAGCGAGTTTCGGGCAGCGGCTGTGGCACTTCGAGCTCGCGCAGGGAGTCCTCAACGGGATTGGAACGTGTCTTTGCTACATGGTAGCCGTGACGATCGCCCCGGGGTGGTTCACGCAGCGTCGCGGACTGGCGATGGGGATCATCCTGGCGGGCACCGGGGTAGGCGGGCTGGTGTGGGCGCCAGCCCTAACCGCCTGCGTCGAGCATCTCGGCTTCCGCAACACCCTCCGCCTGACGGGGGCCGTCTCCTTCACGCTGATCTCGGCCAGTAGCAGCGCCATGGCCTGGGAGCCCGGCACGCGCACGCAGATCGAGATCGAGAATTCCGCTCGCAGCAGCCGCAGTCGCGTCCACGGCCTGCTGAAGGTGCCCCTCGTCGACTGGCGCGTGGCGCGCTCCCGCCGCTTCATCGCCCAGGCCCTGGGCGCGGTGTTCCAGGCGGCCGCATACTACACCCCCGTCTTCTTCTATGCCTCGTACGCTCAGACCCTGGGGTATAGCACGGCTGCCAGTGCCAATTTCATTGCGTTGAGTAACGCCTGTAACGCCGTCGGGAAGGTGGTCATTGGGTATTTGGCTGACCGCATGGGACGGCTGAATGCCTTGCTGCTAACCACCCTGCTGAGCGCGATTTCCACCGTCGCCTTCTGGCTTCCGTCCACGGTCGCAGGGGTGACCACCGAGTCGAAGGATCTGTTCATCACGTTCACCGTGCTGTATGGCATCTTTGCCAGTGCGTACGTCTCGCTCTTCCCCGCGAGTCTGGTTGAGTTGTTCGGGGCGCAAAACTTTGCCTCTGTCAATGGGGTGCTGTATATGGTGCGCGGGATGGCGACGATGATTGGGACGCCTGTGGGCGGGGTCTTAATTCGGAGTGGGAGGAGTGAGACCCCCGGGGCGTTCCGGAATATGTCGGTGCTTGTGAGTGCGCTGTTGTTTGCGGCGACGATGTCGGTGGTCTGGGTTAGGGTTGAGGCGTTCGTGGGGATGGGTGGGGTGGGGAGTAGGAGTAAGTGGCAGCGGTGAGGTCTGTCCCTTCGCTGGGATTGAGGTGGTGCTGCGAGGCTATTGTTTGTTCCGCTTTATAAGATATTTCCTTGGAAGCTTGATTCCTCCCAAGAAGTGGTAGTGCTAGAAAGATGTGCAGCGTCTTCGAAAAGATGACTATACTGCTACATAAAAACCCGCAATGGACTCCTGTGCTTCATTGATAAGTTCCATCAGGCGACGAAATCTATCCACCCAGTCCTGATCGTCTTCGCCTTGTAATTTTTATGATGGCCTCGGACTTCATGTCATCTAGGTTGAAGCAAGGTGCCTATCCAGCAGTTGAACCACTGCATCGTGGCCATGAAGCTGGGCGCGTTTCCTTGCAGTCCAACGACCGCTGTGCGACCCGAAGCATCCATGGCGTTCACGTCCAGATTGTTGATCCCAAGGAGTTGTTCGACAATTGACTGTCTTTCGTGGGCAGCCGCCCAAAATAACGGGGTCCAGCCCCCGGAATCCTTGGGAACCGGATCGGCCTGGTTTGCGAGCAAGAGACTTGTCATATCCAATCGCCCATACTCGATCACGTACGTGATAGGCGTCCGTCCTTGCTTGTGCCTCATGTTGACATCGACCCGATCGCTGGCGAGCAGGAGTTGAAACATCTTCAACCTGCCCTTGACGATTACCCAGACCAGGGCCGGTGAGCCACCATTATCTTCAGAGTTGGCATTGACTCTCGAGTCCTGCAGCAGCAACCGGACCACCTTGCTGCAGCATGCCTCCGAGCCATTCTGGGTGTCTTGTGCGATCGATGTCAGTCTGTCGGGGTCACTGTGGGGCACCCGGCGATTCAAGTCGCCCCATCCGATCTACACCGTCACCAAGATCGCCATCCCAGCTCCGCTGCCGGCGGAGGATATTCAGATGGTGGTCAATGCGCTGGAGCCTGAGATCCAAAAGCAGCTGCAACAGCCGGTAAGTTTCCCATTTATTACACCAATTCGAGGAGGAGAGAGGAATACTTGTCTATTACAATCACTGACCCCTTCGACCAGTCGTGCTGCCCCCAGGTGAATATTCTCTCACCGCATGAACAATTTTCGAAGCATCGGGGTTCCACCCCTGTGATAGGCAGTTTGCCAGTTGTCGCCATGCTTGCCGACTGCCTCCCTCTGAACTGCGCATGAGACAACGGCCAGTATATAGGTTTTAGATCCATACTTCCTGTCATAAATGAGGGTTTCAATTATTACACACTACAACACAGTCTACTACTTTCACCGCACGGGTTACCTGGATAGAAAGCATGCCTTCGCGTTGAGTATATAGTACAAGATCTCGAATTCGATCCAACAACACGCCGCGCCGCTTCCCTTCAAAATCGCTAATATCCGTGTCATACGGAAACCTCCTATCAACGAGTTGCCATACCTGCAGCACACTCCATAGCAAACCCAAAACACCGGGCATACCATCCCTGGGACCAGTAGCTGAGCTCCATGCAATGCGGGGCGCCTCGAACCAGACTCCCATCGACACGCGCACTGCGCTTGAATGCCCGCACACACGTGTCGAGCTCGTCTTCGTCTGTGGTGAAAAATGGATCGTCCTCCACCAGCGCAAACATGACCGGGACCAGAACCTGGGATGCCCACGTCTCTTTCCACACCGGCAGCCAGGTCGTCGGGAAGTCGACAAGGTCTGGGAGCGGCGAGATCGCGTTCAGGCGCTCACACAGGCCCAGAACCTCTGCCGCCGCGGTTCCGGGTCGGAACATCACTGCGTCCTTGTACTCCCCAGGGAACTGGACGTGATCTGCGTTGATGGACACAAAGGATGGGCTGCTGGCCCTCATTGCCGGCAGCTGCGTGTTGCCCATGCCGCTGGCGATGAGACCGCCCAGGGGATATCGCGGTGCATTATCCTGCGCGTGGAGAGCCGCCGCAATGATACCTCCCGTGACTCCCAGACTGTGACTGAGCAAGACGATGCAGTGGCAGTCGTTAGGTATCCCGAAGTCGGACCAGATCTGGGGCAGAATGTATTGGTGCAGCCAGCGGCCAGTCTCTCGGTAGAAGTCGGTTCCTTCTGGGACTGGAAGAATCGAGCTTGTGCCCCCGTACGAGGGACGGTCGATCGCCACGAATGGTGCCCCGAAGGCTTCGCTGCTCAATCGGGCAGAGTAACCGGGGATGCCCTTGAAATACTGGCTGTCGTAGCATCCACCATGAAGTCCGACGATCAGAGGACGGTAACGTAGATGGGATGCTGATGCTGGGGGGGTTGAATGGAAGCCTGTTACAGTCCCATCGTTGGATAGCTTGATGCGAAATGGCTGCATGGGGTTGGAGTGACTGAATGATTTTAGGGGAAAATTCGTCGGAATGGAGTATGGTTGGTTAGGGAGTCAAGTGATAGATTTCCGATGATATCAAGCGGACAACTTAATCACGGGTGAAAATATGCAGGATCGAGCAGCGCGAATCACACTCTCGGTAGATACGTGATTTCTACGGTTATTTTGACTGACACTCTTTGATCTCAGCCCCGATGCGCGGCAAGCCGAGGGCAAGAATGCATTCTCGGATGTACCGTACGGTGAATACTACTTGCTGTGCTGCGCGGATTCGCTGTGGAAGGGAATCGGTAGGCAGTCAGCATCGGCTTACCCCCGCTATCTCCGCGCCAGACCATCTTAACTCCGTGACTGTCTCATTATCGCCAGGAATTGAAACACAACAGTCGTCCTCGATTACATCGAACCACAAGCGGCGTCACTCTAAACTCCTAATTCCGCTTAGTCCACTTGAATCGTTCCACTATTGCTTTATATGGTCTTTTTTTCCCTTGATGGGACGAGAACCACCCGGGTCACGTGTGCTCCGAGTTCTTCAACACTAATAGTAAAACCCAAACTTTGCTGAAGTAAGTAGAACTCATTGCCCAATAATGAATTTTTGTAAAGAGTAATTGATCCAGCTAGCACCTATCAGACACTCACTGATCCCTCAGGGATTACTGGTAGAATGTGGCGAGGCGAATGTGAGGACATTGGAAGGACCGAATCTAGGGCCACAAGGAAGGTAGGATTATAATTCACGCATCTCTGCAAATATGCCTTGTTGTCTCTGACAAACTCAAGGACAATTTCCAAGTCTGCATATATACTGATACTTTGTGAGACCCAGTGAAAGCCCATTTGACAAGCACAATTCAATAATCAAGACAATCGCATAGCTAGACGCCAGAGGAGGACCAATTGGCCTATTCCTAGTAACCCGGACCTCGCTACGTCGTCTTTTTTCCTGGAGATATTCTTCTGGGGTGTCTTATTCTAGATTCATCATACAGTCAATATCATTGCGCCTGGCAAAGTCTGCGACTGGTATTACCAGGCAGCCCAGCAAGCTTTCACATACAAGCCAAGTACTACTCCTCACTGTTCATCGCGGACATCACGCTGAATCTACATGCGCCCGACCGAAAGTCAAAACTCACCCAATGCCATCACCTCAGGCCTCTCCCGTAATAGCTCTCTTAGTCAAGATGGCCGAGTCCTCATTCAACCGGTCCCACGCATGCGCATCGCGACAGGCCTGTCGACTCAGCCGGACGGCGCGTCTCGTCCGGGACCGCATCTCCGCCTCATATTCATCCAGCGCCTCTTTCGCGCCTCGGCCCTCCGTGTACACCTGTCGCAGCGCCTGTGAGAGGTAAAAGGCGTCTAGTAGTCCATGATTGGCGGCTTCGCCGCGATCTGCCCGAATCAGCATGACAGTTTCAACATTCTTCAGCAACGACCTACACATCGTCATGGCATGGGCCGCATCTCCGGCCAGCGTGACCCGGCCGTCGCAGTTATCCCAGTCCAAACACTCCCAATCCGCTAGTTTAATCTCCAGCACCGGCGTTCCACACGGGATTTCCTCCACGACCGACCGCAGGAACGGCACGAAGCCGACCGCCCGTCGTTTCATATTGTCGAGTCGCTCTGCATCGGTTGCCGCCACTTCATCGGCCTCGCTGTTCACCGGCCACGACATGCAGATCTGCGCCCGATAGCGCTCCCCGTCGGAGCTGCCCTGTGTGCCGTTGCTCTGGGGGGTCTCGAGCACGGAGAACCAGAAAAACACCCCCGTGCTGGGGTGGCAGCCCTGGAAGAGCAGCGGGTCCATGGCCCGCAGGGGGCGGATCTCCTCCGGCGACAGATCCACGGCTACCCCCGTGAATCGGATGGGGAGGACGGAGTTGAGGTATGCGTCTGGGCGCAGCACGCGGCGCACCAGCGATCGACTGCCTTCGACCCCGATGACGAACCGTCCGGATACGTGCGTGCCGTCGGCTAGGGCCAGGCGAGGAAGAGCAGTCCCTTGGGTCTCGATGTCGACCACTTGCGCGTTCCACTGGACATGCTCCTCGATCCCGCGTAGCAAGGCGCCTCGCATCTTCTCCCGGTTGACGCGCCAGCGGGTGCTGGGGGGGATCTTGAACTTGGGTGCGCCGGTCGCCAGGTCGATAAAGAGGAAGTTCCCGTCGTCGTGCTGGGCAACTTGCGGGTCGACTTGTACAGCTTGGATGGCTTGTAATGTGTCTTCGGGGAGAATTTGCTGGATGTACTCCAGGGCCCAATGCAGGGTGATGGCCCATCCTTGCCCGCGAGCATGCGGCGATGCGTCCCGCTCGTAGATGCGGAAGGGGATGTTGTTCTAACCTGTGATTTAGTATGCAGTAAAAACCTGGCAGTGTGTAGGTACAGTAAGGTACCTTCTTGAGAGCCTGACCAAGCGTCAGCCCGACGATGCCTGCTCCGACAATCAAAATAGGGTCCATGGCGATGGGAAACTTGGCTGATGATACTTACGAGCCACCTGGGTCCTGCCCCTTTGCCGCCCCCCCGCTTCATATACTAGTACTTAGTACCATCGGCTGGGCAATCTGCCCCGTATCTGCTGTTCCGTGTTATCGGATAGCGTTTCGTCGGACCGTCGCATAGATAAGCGCAAATGCGGGGGTGGCTTGGCTGCATCCATGATACGCAGCGAATTGCCGAGATGAGAGGGGAAGCCCCCCAGAACCTACCGTAACCTATCATATCAGCTTGCGAGTGAGTATAGACGCGGAAATCGGCAATGGCTTCTGGTGCAGGACGTGATTTAAGCCCATGAGCACCCTGGTTCTCGTAAGTCCTCCAACTCGCACACACCAGAACCATCGCCATGTCTCATGAAGCCCTGAACCCCATCCACCCGGCCGTCTTGCCGCATCTCGACCCTGCCTTTGTCGACCTCTACAACAAACATGTCGCCCACACTCCGAGCGGGCCGATCGATCTCGCCGTCCTTCGATCCAAGTATTCTGTGCTGTACTCCTACGGCACCGGTCCTGCACCGGAGCCTGCGCGTGTCTACGACACCACGATCCCGGGACACCAGGGGGATCGGATCCCATGTCGGGTATATGAGCCCGACAGCCCTGGACCCTGGCCCGTCCACGTCGACTTCCACGGTGGCGGTGCGCCCTGCTCCCTTCTCTCGTTAACATATAGCACCGACATCTAACGGCAATACAAGCACAGGCTGGGGCCTCGGCGACCTCGACACCGAATCGCACATCTGCAAGCACATCGCCGTGAAAGCCCAAGTGGCCGTCATCGACGTCGCCTACCGCCTGGTCCCCGAACACGCCTTCCCCATCGGCATCCAGGACTCCTTCGCGGCGCTGCAGCATCTGGCGTCGTCTGCCGGCCGCGCGCAGTTCCCGGGCCTCGACACCAGCCGGATCTCCCTCGGGGGCGTGTCTGCCGGGGGTAATATCGCCCTCATCCTCGCCCACCTGGCGCGCGACCACGGCATCCCCCTGCGGCTGGTGGCGGTGGGGACCCCCGTCATCGACGATATTTCCGTCTACGCGACGGCCGCCGAGTCGCCGTTCGCGTCCATGCAGGCGATGGAGTTCGCGCCGACCCTGAACTGGGCGCGGTTGAAGTGGTTCGATGAGCTGAAGTGGCGGAGTCTCAGCGCGGAGGAGGCCGTGCGCAAGCAGCAGAGGGCCGAGGTGAAGTGGTATGCGAATGCGCTCAGTGCGCCGAGTTTCACCGGGCTGGCGCGCACGGTCATCTACACGGCGGGCTGTGATCCGTTGCGCGATGAGGGCGAGGCTTACGCCCGGAAGCTGATTGAGGGGGGCTGTGAGGTTACGGTGCGGCGGTTCGAGGGGGTGCCGCATCCGTTCATGCATATGGATAAAGGTGCGTCTCTTTCTTCTTGGTGGGGTGGATGCGTATGTGGGGTGTTCTGGCATGCTGACTGGAGCGCAATAGATCTCTGGCAGGCGCGGGAGTTCATTGATTTGGTTGCTGGGCATGTGAAGGCGGCGTTGCATGAGGTGAGGTAGTTTGCAGTCCAACCTAGGATTCATGATGTAATAAGTTCAACAATGTATATCCTTAGTGAATCAATCTCTGTCTCTGTTCTTTGTGGGGCGACGAGAACAAGACTAAGGAGCAGAGGAAGCAGAAGAGATAGAGATCGAGACCGCAATGTCAATACCCCCACAACAGCAGTAGTCAAGATGATAATATCAACCGGGATGATAATATGAGAAACCCGACAAGAAAAACCATCATCATTCTAGCGATAGTAAAGATAATCTTCAAGCGCTATTTGTCATACATGTTGACCTCGGGGGTAACTATGACTCCAAACCCCCCTGAGCAGCTTCCATCGCATACAATTGCTCAACCAAAGGAACAATCGACTCGCGCAGACCCCGAAACTGGACCCCGAGCATCTGCTTCGCCTTTCCAGCATCGCAAGCGTAATGGGTGTCCCGTATCCGATGCCCCGGACTGCCCACCGCAACACGCTCTCGGGCAGCGGGGACGGCCTGGCGCAGTACATCCGCCATCTCCTGTGTGTCGTACGCCCCTTCGGTGACCAGGAACCGTTGGTGCGAGGGGAGGGTTGTCGTCAATGCGCGGAGACAGGTGTCGGCCAGGTCCTGCACATCTACCCAGACTAGCAACCGCAGCAACCACAAAGAATCGAGGTTAGTACAGTTGTTGTACCATTCTGGTTTGTTGAAGAGAAAAGTAGGGCTTCTTACCCGGAGCCTTGGTCGGCGGGAGTACATCGCGTCCCCCCTGCGCCACCTCCCAGACAATCCGATTACTGGCGTTCAGCTGCGCCAGCGAGGGTATCGGATGGATCATTTCCCCAAACACCATTCCAGGACAGAGCGTGACCAGCTGGAAGTCCACCGCGTGCTCCTTTACGTACGTCCAGGCGGCCCGTTCGGCGAGGACCTTGGATGCGCGGTATGCGATGGCCTGAGTCGTCAACCATGCATCGACCAGAATAAGCAACGATGGACTGTACTTGAAGGGACAGAGTAAAGGAACATACCACATTCTCCGTGTCCCGCCCCTCCTCATACCCCAACGGACTCCAGTCCTCCTCTGTGTATACCCGTCCAGGCTGCAAGCCCTGCGCCGCGTCGTAGACAGCCGCGAACGAGGACATGATCACCAACTTCCGCACGGTCGGAAAACGGTGTGCCGCCTCACA